TAACTTTATGGTGGACACAAAACAAGCTCGGTGTGGCTCCTCTAAACTCTGAGAACTTTTTGTCCTGCCTGACGCCAGGGAACCCAACCTCTGAGGCGGCGAGGACAGGTGCTTCCGTCCACAGCTCCCGGGAACAGCAGGCGTGCAGTCACCCCGCTCTGAGGAATGCCCTTCAAGGTCACCACGACGACTTCCATTACCCGTACTAGGAACCCGCCACGAAGCCGAGGCCTCCCCACGTGGGCGGGCGGCTCTGACAACTCTGTACAGACACAACCCCTCTGACCCTGACCCCGCACTGGCACGCGGGACTGCGGGACTGCGGCTCAGCGGCCCGCGTTGCATGCCGGCACTCGTAGTTCTCAGGACGCCCGCCTTAGCGCGCGAAGGGACAGTAGGTCGGCAGCGCGCGTGGAATGCCGGGACCCGTAGTTCACAGGACGCCCGCCTTAGCGCGAAAGGGGAACGTTTGGACGGCGGCCCGCGTTGCGTGCCGGAACTCGCAACGCCTGATGGGGATCCGCGGTAAGGCAGCGCGCGGTGCATGCCGGGACTCATGGTTTAAAGACCCACCCCTCCACCCCCACCCCCGGGCCTCAGTGCTTAAAGGGACCTGTGGGACAGCGGCGCGCGCTGCATGCTGGGTCTGGTGTTCACAGAGTAAACAGGGCGTAGCAACACTGTTCCCGCCGGGCCCAGCTCCACGGGTTTGGTGCTGGGACGCCTCGGTACCCGTTGCTGGTGCAGCGCGTCTCGGGCCCCGCGTGTGCTAGTGTTTACACGCGGGCCCCCTGGCGCACGCACGTGGCGTAGTGTGACGCCACACGCTGTCCCGGAAGTCGGCGCGGACCTGGGCGGCGGGTGGAAGCCGGTGCAAGAGTGGGAATCGCAGCGCAGCCACCGCCGCCGCTTGGGCCAGGGTCGCCCGCCCGCCCGCCGGTCCGCCGGTCCGCGATGGGCACCGGGCCCTGAGCGCCCTCCCGCCGCATCTCCGCAGCGAACCTGTTGGCCGCGATGGAGGCGCCTCCCGCCGACCGCGTTCCCGCCGAAGGGCCCCGCCGGCGGCCGTGCCGAAGGCGCACCGCCCGGCCCCCGGCCCGTTACGTCTGCTCGAGTGGAGG